TATATATATATATACTTGTCTTCGATTTATTTACTTTACAGTTTTTATTTTATAACACGTTATCAGCACGAGACTCTGTCATTTTGAGCATTTACTTTGAATTTATTTTCTATTTCAATGTTCATCTCCGATGTAAGGCGACGCTCTTACCACCGTAGTTAGATCTTGTTCATTTCGAGCATCATAAGACAGATTATATCCTTCAGGTGGTGAGTTTTTCTTCTTGACGGTAGTGATGAAGATATCACTTACATCTGGAGTGGCCAAATTTGCGTAAATTAATTGAGCCTTTTGCTTATTTTTTAATATCTTTATCATCGCTTGCTTGGTTATATGCTACCTACGTATACAGTACCTATTTTGGTATTTGTTTTCGTACTAATTATCTTAATGAAGGAGTACAAAGTGGATAACATTGTTAGATCCACTTAAACTCTAGTAGAGTTTACAAAAAATATACAACCACCAGAAGCGGTTATGTTTCCATATATCTCATTGTAACTAAATTTTATGAACCACCAGAAGTGGTATATGCTGCCTATGACCACCAGAAGTGACAATTTAGGCTTTCTATGGTTATAATTGAAGATAAGCTAGATAAATATTCTCTATATTATATGCACGTCTCGATTTACTTCCGAAGTAGTAAATATTTTAAAAGAGGTTGAAGCATCACAATTTGATGTGATTAATGCGCGTTTAGATAATTATATTTGATTTCCTGAAGGATGAGAATCTTTGATAAATATTAATTTATTCCCTGAAGCTATGTGATAATATTAATAAAGCTCGTAAATATGAACGCACTCTTGATGTAAATATATTACAATTCACCTCCAGAAGAGGTAATTTAATTGAGAGAATATATACTCAATTTGTTGTATTTTAAGTTTGCTTCTGAAGAAGTAACGTAATTGAAATTTTCTCCTGAAGTAGGAAAATATTATGAAAAGGTGTTTTCTTGTGCTTAAACAATTATTTTATATTGTTTAATTATGATTTTCTCTCATGATACCAGAAGTGTCTGAGCAATATTTGATAGTACAAAATATATCAACAACTCCTGAAGAGCTAACTGTTTGTCTAGAAGACATATGACACCAGTAGTGTCTGATAAATATTAGATTGTGGATAATAAATGAAGGCCCTCGAATAGATTATATACAAATATGACATTCATATTATATGATTATGGTCAAAACATATGTTGTAGTAAATTTGAAGTTTACTAATACAAATGGCTATCATATTGAAACTACAAATGGCTGAAAGATTGAAAATCTTCATGTTTCCACAACCATAGGAGTAAAATAATATGTATGTGAAATGTTACCGACCTTATTCTTCAATTGTACTACATCATGTATCGCAGTAAACCAGTAGTTTATTAATGCAAAAGCAGTCTCAGTAATCAAAAGCTTTACTGAGGAAAAAGTAGCTATAGTAAATCAGAAATTCCCTAATATAAAAGTAGCCACAGTAAATCAAAAGTTTACTAATGCGAAAGTTTATGCCCTAGTAAACCAGAAGCTTACTAAGAGATAGCACATGCAATGGTAAACTTGAAATTTTCATTTGCCATTTTTAAATGAGCTATTTGAGAATTCAGATAAGCATATACTGACGAACTAGAAGATTCTTCAAGAATTCTCTTGTGTTGCTTGTTCTCATAATAAATTTATTATACCATCTAAAGTTGGGACTAAGATCCCTGAATTCTGGAATATATAAAAGGTGAATATGGGCCCATTCACCTATCATGTGAGCCAATTATAGATGCATATATGAGATGGTTACATATGTGTTTATTGTCAACCTGCAGTTTGACATTTGAAATTGCTTTTCTCAATTAAGAGCATAACTTTCAGATTATGAAATCAAAATAGCTCATCTTTAAGATGCTGGTTTATATCCAAGCTAGTTTAGCATTGAATACCTCCTATTAATGACTAAACTATTGCTTATGAGAACAAAATTTCATATGTTGGTCTAAGATTTTTTAAATTGCATACATCAACACTTGTATGCATTAGACCAACAATATATGATAAGTCTTCCCCTAACAATTGGTTTAGGATCAGAAATCAAATATTTTACTATCTAATAACTTTTGATGCGTAGTATATGATTAATTTCTCTTCCACAAAGCACACAGATAGGTTTTCCAAAGAGGATTTGGGATATACGTTAGTTTTTCTAACATTTGGGGGATGAAAGAAACATATGACAAATATGTTTTATGAATCGAATTATCATTAATATGATCCTCACTTAGAAGTTAATTCAAGTCAAATGCCAGAAGCATTTGATGATCCAAAACTAAATATCATATTTCAGCTGCAAATGCTACTATTAAAATTAAAAGTCCCTGAAAGATAAAGTTTACTACACGTATGAAGCGTAGTAAATCGATTGGTTCCGATGGTAACAATCCTTGAAAAATTATAGGAGCAAATAATCAAAATGATCATATTGGGGAGGAAATGAGCTCTAGAAGAGCCCACGATATAACATTTCATGAAACTCCAGAAGAAGTTCAGGTACCTGAAAATAAAAAAAAGTGATGAGATATCAACATGTTATGTTGCTTAGGAACCGATATAAAATAATAGTCGACGATATATTTGATACAATATAGTGCATAATATTATAAAAGATTATGAGGATTAGACTTATAGTCCAGACACCTGAAGATGTCATGCCATTTAAATGCAAGTCATAACCTATATAACTCATTTGATTAAATCTATATGAAGATCCCTGAAGGATTTAAAATGCCTGAAGCATATAGGTCAAAGTCTCGATAAATACACTCGATCAGAATACAAAGGTCTTTGTACGGTTTAAAGTAATCTGGGTGCATGTGGTATA